AAACAGCTATCAGCTGTCCTCTGGTCACCCTTCACTCTGTCTCTGGGTCCCTGACTGTTTCAGACAGGCTTGTGGAGCCACACAATGTACACACCACACAGATGCATGCCGTCAACTGTAAAAAAACAAAAGAAAACGCTTTAAGTGTTGTCACCCCGCTACTCCACCCCCACCTCACTCACTCTCTCTCTTCCCCCCCTCTCTCACCCCCTCAGCCCTTCACATAGCCCAGTGAATAGACCCCTCTGTACTCTGGAAGATTTAACTTGGGTTCTGTCTGTCGCTAACAATCTCTCTCCCTTGGCGTCACTCTGAAATAGTGCAGTGGAGGAGCCAGTGTCATTTTAAATAGGGGTTGTCTCCACGCTGCGAGACCAAAGCTCAGCTGAACACGCGCTGTACAGGAATTCGAATTATAAAAGAAGGGTGCAGTGCATTGTAGGTGGGCTGTAGGTACGGTAAATAACACAAGATTAGAATCTAGCAATGCCAGTGCAGTTCCTCTGATGCATAACAGTGCAGACAGGCCATCTGGGCTCATTTACCTCCATGTATAGATCAAATGGAGAATCCTGATTAAGCAAACATGATTTCTTTCCAAAGGTAACAAACCCCACCTTCCACCATCTCTACAGCATACTAACAAACACCAAAGTGTAAGAACGACGGGTTGTGGTTTTACTGGGGCTTCTGTGCCACTACCAATATTTGTAAATAGTGTAAAATACTTTTTTTCTTAAAGGAATTGACAGTTAGCTTATCTTATTCATATTATTTATAGTTACAGTTTTTTGTTGTTTTTTTACATGTGATGGTGTTATATTGTTAATGCACAGTAGTTTGCCATCTCTGTATTGATGACGCAAACACCTGCAAGTCGATAACATGGGAGTCTCTGCTATCAATCCCATATGATGTGAATGCAGCAGTAGGATGGGAAAAGACTCAAACCAGGGGGAAGAGCAACAGGTCAGTTTTACACTTTTGGACAGACTAAACAAATGAGATATGACGTGTTAATTAGTGGTATGCAGATTTTTTTATTACCTTTTGACAGAGCCCGGCTAGCGGTTTCCCACTGCTTCCAGTCTTTTTGCTAAGCTAAGCTATTTAGCTTACAGATGTGAGATTGGTATGGATCTTCTCATGTACCTGTCAGCAAGAAAGCTAATAGGCATCATCTATTCCTTAAACCCCAAATCCACTTTAGTCCATGTTTTCCTTTTCAAATTTTACCAGTGAAGTAATTGAGGGAAGAGATGATTAATTCTTTGGTTATTCTGCCATGACTCTCACACTGAGACTGTGTTAAGCCTCCTCTGTAGGCAGTCAACACTTCTTGTAGAGACTGTGCAAAACCAGCACACAAGTATGTTCACACTGCAGAGGGAGGTATTGGGTTAAAAGCTCTCTGTGTTGGATGTTCACGGTAGGTGCTAGGTGTAATTTGGGACAAACCATGTGAAAACAATCGACAGGCAGCAAGCAAAGCAGTTGCTAAAAGCCTGGAAAAGGATATAGATCAAATCCGACCCTGAGGGAGGGACGTGGCATTTCAGAGGCTTGTTTCCTTTTTTAAGCATTTTAGGGTTTTTTGCATTGCACATTCTTCATCGAGCAGTTGCATCTGAGCTTCAGCAGCTAAACAGGCTGAAATAGGTCATCACCAAAAAATAAATCAAGAGACAAACGAGACCAAAAATGCAACCCTTGCAACTCAAAGTGACATTTATTAGTTGCGATGAGTGCTCCAGTCGGAGTTGTGGCTGCTGAGAAAGACCCATTTCCACTTTCCTTGTTATCTGCAGAGAAAAAAGCCACTGATGCAAAGAAATAAACTGCTGATCGCCAGAAAAACACATACACACACACACATGGTCAAACACACCGGGAAAAACACAAATCGCTGCGTTCACACATGAGCGTCCACTAGACAGGCATTCAAATCCACTGCTCCAATCATTTATCAATGCAGCTCAATTTAATGCACAGCAATAAGAGCACACAAACAGACATATAGACCAAACAATAGGCCGATGCACTGTGAGCATGCCATTATTGTGTGCAGTAATGGAACCGTATGAGGGAAAGGAGTGGTTGCATTTAACTAGCCTGTAGAAATCAGATAACTCCTCTCAGCACATACTGAAGGCACTTAAGCATCAGACAGTAGAGTTGGAAGTGTGTGTGTGTGAGAGAGAGAGACAAAGTGAGGATGACATGGACATAAATGTTAGAAGACAAGTACATCTTCTGTGTCGCAGGTTCTGTGCAGACTGACTTGATCACATCCAATGAGGAGAGGAGTTTCTGCCACAAACTAAAAACAGTGACCGGGAAACAAATGGTTTCCAGCGTCCTTGTTGACCAATTCCCACTTTTCGCTCTCCCTTCTGTTCAGCCCGTCTCTCTCTTGTTCTTTTACATTGTCACTCTCTCTTTAACTGTTCCCCTGCTTTCTCGCTCCCTTTCAGCTCCCTGCTCGGTCTCTCAAAGCACTTCCTCTTGCTACCACTCTCCTTTTTCCATCCTTCCTCTCATCACCATCTTTTGAATACTTCAAATCTCATTATCGTATTCTTTTTCTTTAATTAATCCCCACCACCAAAAATAGAATTCTGTAGACAATTTAAGGTTTTAGTTGTAGGGTTTAGTTTCATTCACTAACACCCCCACACACGTTACAACTGCACAGTGCATACAAGCAGAGTACCAATGGAACACTGTGCATCCTCTAAACTCTATCAGCCAACTTGCGACAGAGTAGTCATCTAAGAAAATATACCTCAGTGCAGCAGTATACATATTCTTTGGTTTAAATCATACCTTCTTGTGCTTATACATTTTCTTCGTGAAGGCTCAGCAATTTAAATTTTCAAGAAGCAGCTGATTACAAACCAGAAATTCAGTCCTAAACCAACAGAGGACTTCCTCTAAACTGGACCAGCCTCGGACCTGCAGTCTATTAAAGTGTCCAGATGCTGGTGTGACTGGCCCTGAGGAAGCACAGTGTGGCTGCCGGCAGTAGCAGGGCCGGGGCTGGAAGTGGAGCCGCTTGTTTAGCAGACCCACCCTGACCAGCACAAAGGGGGGCTACGCCCTCCTCCACCACCAGACGGCCCGCTGATTGGCCAGCTGGATGACCTTTGATCCCTGTTGTATTGTGGTCTCAGCTGCGCCAACCCTCCCCCTAGAGTGTGTGTGCGCGTGGGCGCATGTGTGTATGGACAACAAAAGACAGCCAAGTCCTAATGCAGCAATCAGAGCAGTGGAAGAGGGGAAATAGAGTGTGTGAGTGTGTGTGTGTGTGTGTGTGTGTGTGTGTGTGTGTGTGTGTGTGTGTAGTGCTGTGTGGATGGGGCTGGTGCAGTTATGTTTTAGTTGTGATGACTGCAACAGTGATTAGCTACATCAGAGCCCATCCAGCAGCCCCTTGGTTTCAAAATACTTTCAAATCTTACCTTCCTCTAGCTTTAAACCAAATCTAGCCTTCTTCTATAGCCCCAGGTTTTAACCAAACATAGCCTTTTCACAGGCCCCAACTCCAGACCAAACCTAACCTTTCTCTGGGCTATTTAGTCTTAGCTTTAGACCAAAACTACCCTTCATTGAGCACCAGCTTCAGACCAAATCTAGTCCCCTCTAGCCCCAGCCATAGCCTAAAGCTAGACTAATCCAGCTCATGGTCCCAACCAAATTTAGCCAACCTATAGCTCCAGCTCCAGACAGAACATGGCCTTTCCTCTATCCCTAACTCTAGGTCAAGTCTCAGGCCACATTTAGTGCTGCACTAAACCCAGTCCTGGTGCAAACCTAGTCTGACCCAGGAGCTGTCTATGCAGGTGGTCTAGCCCTTGTTGGCTGAGACACCCTGAGTCCTGCACCTACTCTGTTAATACCCCATGTGACTCTCTCTCTCTCTCTCTCTCTCTCTCTCTCACTCAGGGTAGGGTCAGGGTAGACCACCCCCTAACAGCATGACTGGCTGTCTGAGGAATGCCATGTCATGGAGCAGATGGAGCTCCACAAACAATGGAGCGGCATGCTCTTACTGGGCCTATATAGGAAGACGTGCCAAGTGTGTAACTGAGTGTCCATTATAGCTGTGGTCTCTAGTCATTTGAAAGCCACACTTTTTTCCTCCTCCTGTTCTATGACTTTCCCAGTAAGCTGCAGCACTTTTTCCCCAACAAAGAACAAGGCCTGAAGAAGTTTGAGAATGATGCAACCAAAGCCAAAAGACATGCACAATTAACACACACAGCATGGCGCAATGGAGAGAGATGGATAGAGTCCTGCGGACAGGTCGAAGTGTGGTGTTACATATTCAAACTCAGGGCGCGTGTTTCAGTGGCCATGCTGTCCCGGAGAAAAAATACCGACAAACACCGCAAACCTATGTGCCAATAATGACCCCAAACAACCCACGTTAGGATACGTGACTCTTTACAGCTCAATGTCACATTATCTCATTCCCACGCCAATAATGACGCAATAACCTGAAAATCCTGACAATCGATCGGTGTCTCATATAATCATAATAGGCTATTTCAATAGAAGTTACAGCTTTTGAAATTAATGTGGCATCAGTAGGCTATTCCTATAGGGTAAGATAATCCTTGTATTGAGACTATCTGTGTGCCGGTAGTTTTGTGTAAGAGCTCATCAGAGTCCTACTAAGAAATACAAGCTACTTGTTTCTCTCTCGTTGTGGATTAGGGATGTAAACCGCTATCAAAGGCTGGAGCTGCCACATTTCATTCATTTCACACATATGGGCCCACTGGCGAGGTCCATTTCCTGAAAACGTTGTACTTGTATTCAAACATCCCGTAACTCAGAAAGCAAGGGCTCAGTAAGGGCTTTGAGTGGATCGTGCACTTCTTGGTTGTCGACTCATTCATTAACGTTAGCTATAAAAACATTGCCGGGTCTCCAGATAACCCTGAGAGTGTCAGTGAACAGGGATGCCAGATTGGACGGGAATCCGGTGAACTCACCCAAGAGAACGACGGATGATCGGCTCCCCGCTCCTCCTCTGTGTAAATCCAGGACCCCGGGCACCAGACTAATGTGCAAATTGGTAATTTCACAAAATCTTCCTTATCCGCACAGTGAAAAAGCGATGCGTGGAGGCGATGTGGAGCCGCAAATAAACCTGGCCGCTGCGCGCACACACACGCACGCATACATACACAAAATAAAAAGGTGTACAACAGCGATTCAAGAGAAATGTCGGTGAAATGGGTGTATCTGTAGTAATATCGGATGCTTTGGTTGTTGACTGTGCACTAACTGAGCTGCTTCCCCCGGCTCCACCCGCTAACCCAGCCTTCCCAGAGCGCCCATTGGCACAGGCGGCCGGACATGCAAATCTACTCTCCCCATTGATGTTTTCCAGAAAAGAAAAGAGGAGAAAAAAAGCTGGGTTCTGTTTCAGTTGCTCCACTGCGCCACCGTGCGGCATCTTAGCTGCAGCGATTTTGGAGTTACTCCAATCATCCCTGTACGGAGATTGTCATTTTGCTTGTAGAAAGTGGTTGAGGCTTCAGGCTGAACAGCACCAGGGAGTGTGGGTAGGGAGCAGGTGCCTTGCTCAAGGTTGCTTTCAGGTCAGATGCTTTGCAGGTTGCCATTGTAGACTAGAACTCATGTCCTCAGGCCATTACAGTGAGCTGGAAATATAGGTAAATACACTAATAACACCAAGCTCTTTATCTTTCAGTAGGCTATCGAGTCAGCGTCCAGCCTTAAAACCACAGTAATATTATTACTTGAATTGTTCATATGTTATTTATTCAGTTAACTAATATTCACTGCTAAATTGTATTTCCCAACATGAAGACCACAGGCATTTCGATTAAAAGATTTTGTTTCAAAATCTTTTACACACTGTGAACTAGTTAAATTCAAAGTCCACATCTGTCTTTTTGTTGCGTAACTTGAATGTTTGAACATCAAAATTATGTATTTGCAGAGTTTGACACTAGAAGGTTGTTTTTAAATTCATCCGCTGACGAAGGAAAGTTCCTCTGTGCTCACCTTAAATCTCAGTTCAGCAAGTGGACGTACCAGCAGGATTCTGTGACATCAAAACTAGACTGGAGGCCAATCAGCATTGAGTATGCAAGCACGATGTGGAAACTTGAAGTCTCCACCAACACTGAGGATGAGTGAAGCAGGAGTCATCTTGATTCCACCAGTTCAGCTTTAGAAAAATTAAATTAAATTTGGGATTTTTCTATGAGAAAGAGTAGACAGGTTTCTACAAAAATGCAACAAATGAGCTTTTTTTGTGGAAAAAACAATTAGACACAAAGTATTCTTCAAAGCAGAATATTGTTTAGCCTTATAACATGATTGGGGATCTTTAATGATACTGAGTCTAAAAAATATATATTGGAATTAGTATGGAAATGGAATCAGTGTCAACAATGGTAGCTACAGCCCTCCTGATAAATATTATAGTGATACTATGAGCTTAAAAGTTATAAAATAAAATAGAAATGAAAAACAAGCAAACATAATATGGTTATTATCTCTAGGGAATAATAATAGCTGAAGACAGAAAACTAGCAGTAAAGTTCCAACATATTATAGCCAGTTTAGCCTATAAGACATAAACAGCACAAGCGTACTGGACAGAGAGACCGCCACTGTCCCTTAATGTTCAGTGTTGTCCCCGGCAGACCTTCACAGATTTTTCACTGTGCCAACATTAAGTAATTAGAAAATTAACCCTCAGAATGTATCTCCTGGCGTGCGGCATGTTTTAACTTGGTAAATGAAGTGGTCCTGGTAGAAATCACCCCACACCAGTCCAGTGTTAGCACTAATGAAAAGTCTGAGACTGAGGCCAAAAAGAGCCCGTTCTCCTCCAATAAACTGAAGCCAGCTGCTTCTTACACGCAGAGAAACGCTCCAACTTTCCGTGCAGGAAACTACAAGAGAAGAATGTGCCTTTTCTTCTCAGCATGTGCTGCAGTTATTAACTGTGACCGATTCCCAAAACTCCGAAAAATAAACTGTGATTTTGATGTAGTGTCTTGGAGCCAGCCTCACCGTAGCAACAGCTGTACTGTGCAGGATGTAACAAAGCTCAATGGAGGCACACTAACAGCAAGTACTAATGTTCATACAGTTAAAAACTGCATCTTTCTCTATCAGGTTTTTACAACGTCAGTGAAAGCCTCACATATTACTTCACCCGGTGTGAACAATAACCTTTGTGAGCAGCCTGCAGACAATCCTGTAGTGCTGTAATGGCTTGATTGAAGACACAACAGACAGCACTGCCTTGAAACAGAAATAGTTTCTGAAAAAACAGACCCATCAATGCCACCGTTAGCTCAAGTTTTATATTTTGTGAGCCAGCATTATTGCATCATGATCGATACAAGAACAGTGTAGGTGAAAAATGAGGTCAAACGCAGCCCCCAAGTCAATAACATTTCCCAAAGAGGTCTAAAACTGAAAAGGAAAGATCAATAGAGTGAAGGACATCCACAGCTTACAGCCTCTTCTTGACTCCTGCCAGTCATAAAAAAAAAAACAAAATAAACAATGCACAGCACACTGCCTTGTATGTTACATTTCACATATCTGTCATATATAAGTGTTCAAAATATCAAAAAGCACTGACAGTATAACACATTATAGCGTCAAATATACTTTATAATGCAATGGTCTTCACTAATTCCTCTGATAATCTGCTCATCTAGGTCTGCCAGTCATCACATTTAGAAGAAAGCTTTATTTGCCAATTCATCAGGCAGGATAAAAGTCCTCCTAACAAAAGAGAGCACTTGGCTGCATCAGCTAGGCAATGCAGGGCTTATTGTGTGTCCTTTAAGACAGAAGAAACCCATTCTCTTGGAAATATGGTGGACCTTGTTGTCACAGTGAGTAGGAGTCAGAATTTATTCGTTTTTAGCCAGGCGAGCACAAAGGAAATATACAGTACATCTTGCCTTTTGATAAACTGCACACAAAGCTTGCTTAAGTGTACCGCAGCACTGTGTAGTGCATTTGCAGTGACGAGAGATGTAACCATTGGGCCAACATGGTCAAACACACACCAACAAACACTAAAAATGAATTAAATAATCCTCTCTTTGATTAACATATAAACTGAATCAGTAACATAACCATTTGGGCTTTAGCACGTTATTAAGTATTTATGTTTGTCTGTACATGAGAGTGAGAGCTTAGTTGAGCCTCGAGTGACACGTTGGGGTGGGATCCCCACATCATTACACCCTCACACTGATGTCAGTGAACTGTAGCACTGAAAGGAGACAGGCAGAGAAAGGCAGGCACATTCATGGTCCTCATTAGAGCACGTTTCCATAGTCAGTTACATATTGGCATGGTGTAAAGTCTTAGGCAAGTCTCATCCAGTGTCTCCACTTCAAGATTAAAGACCACATCCTTTCCGTCCCTACTTTGCAGCCAACTCTGAAAAAGTCCTAGACATATTTATTTATATTTAACAACCTTGTCCCTGAGCGTCTAAGCACTGGCCTATGCTGCATGCTCCGCCTGCCTCCTCTGGTTGTAGGTGTTGTACACGTTCAGGAACATGTCCCTGCACGATATACGTGCATTCAGTTTGGAGCAAATGAGGAAGGAGCCGGCCATCTTGCGGTGAAGGGAGTATGTCTCCTCAGGCGGAGGGGTGAGGCGGTGGCGTAGCATGATAGGGATGAGGCTCTGGATGCGCTGGGTGGTGCTCTGGGTCCCGAAGTCAAAGGGCTCTGCAGACGTAAAGGCTTCACCGAGGATCATCACCGCCTCCACGTGGGCATCCTCAAAGGCCTGGTAGGGAGCACAGACGTGTTAAATAGGTACCTTTGTGCAAGTCTTTTGTGTGTACATAATAATCAACTGAACTAAGATTTCAATATGGAAGCCGATATCTGTGTCAGATAGAACTGTACACTATATGCCATCACAAACAGACTTATTGAGTGTGTACACCTCAGGATTTACGTTTACTCATTTTTGCTCACGCCAGCAACTTACTAGCGTCAGCTTTTTAAGCTAGCGACTTACAACTGCTATATATGTCAGCAACTAGAGGTCAAGTATCTTGCTCAGAGAGTGTTCCAGTATGAGTTGAACCCAGGTCTCCACTGCATCGTCGCCATGACATATACAGTCCCCTCCAAATTATTGGAACGGTAAGGCAAATTCCTTTGTTTTTGTTGTTCACTGAAGACATTAAGATCAAAAGATGAGTCAAGACAAGAGTTCAGAATTTCACCTCTCATTTCCTGGTATTCACATCTAGATGTGTTAAACAACTCAGGACATATCACCGTTTGTATTAGACCACAGCATTCTTAGGTGAACAAAGGTAATGGAACAAATAATCTTAAAGTAAATAACATTTAATATTTTCTGGCATAACCCTTGCTTGCAGTCACTGCCTCAAGCCTGCGACCCATCGACATCACCAAACTGTTGCTTTCTTCATTTGTGATGCTATTCCAGGCTTTTACCGCAGCTTCTTTCAGTTCTTCTTTGTTTTGGGATGTTTCTCCCTTCAGTCTCCTCTTAAGGAGGTGAAATGCAGCTCTGTTGGGTTAAGGTCAGGTGATTGACTTGGCCAGTCTAAAACCTTCCACTTTTCCCCCTGATGAAGTCCTTTGTTTTGTTGGCAGTGTGTTTTGGCTCATTGTCCTGCTGCATGATAAACTTCCTCCCCATTAGTTTCAATGAATTTCTCCGTAAATTGGCAGACAAAATGTTTCTGTCCACTTCTGAATTCATTCTGCTGCTACCATCATCAGTTCCATCATCAATAAATATTAATGAACCTGTTCCAGAAGCAGCCATGCTCGCCCAAGCAATGACATGATCAGTCCATAAGATTGTGTTCCACAACTTTTGCGGCTCATCTCTGTACTTCTTTGCAAATTTCAATCTGGCCTTCTGATTCTTCCTGCTGATGAGTGGTTTTCATCTTGTGGTGTGGCCTCTATATTTCTGCTCTCTGAGTCTTCTTCCAACAGTGGATTGTGACACCTTCACCCTGCACTGTGGAGGTCGTTGCTGATGTCACTTACTGATGTTTTGGGGGTTTTCTTTACAGCTCTCACCATATTTCTGTCATCAACTACTGTTGTTTTCCTTGGCCGACCTGTTGGACGTCTGTTGCTCAGCACACCAGTAGTTTCTTTCTTTTTCAGGACATTCTAAATTGTTGTGCTTGTTATGCCCGATGTTTGTCCAATGGCTCTGGTCGATTTTCCTTCTTTTCTCAGCTTGACAGTGGCTTGCTTTTCTC